GCACGAACCCGTGTCCCCTGCATCGGCAGGTGGACTCTCAACCGCTGCGCCACCAGGGAAGCCCACAATTAACATTTTTTAATTCAGTGATTTGGGTTTCTTTCCTAGAACTGTGGTATTTTAATATACTACTACTACCAAGAGGACCAAAAATATCATTAGGAAGCTGGGTTCCCCCGGGTGATTAAGGATGGAAAAGAGATGTGTAAGAGTACTTGCATGTAAATGATGTCCTGATTCTGATTTTAGGTATTAATTGAAGAAACGGATCAATTATGGAAAGTTCATTGTCACCGAGACTTTAAGGATGAAAGGCCAGAGGAGTATGAGTCGTGGCGGGAGATGTACCTGCGGCTTCAGGATGCACGAGAGCAGCGGCTGCGAGTCCTCACAAAGAATATCCGATCTGCACACGCCAATAAGCCCAAAGGTCAGGGGGCAGCGTGGGTCTGGCAGAATAATGAGCCCTGTGCTCTGGTCAACAGCAGGGCCGTGGTGAGCTCAGCTACGGTATCACCTCTGGCCCCCAAATCTCTCCTGCATTTGCAGAAGAGGGCAAAGGGTGAGGTGTTTCTTCTGCCACTATGCATACTACCCTACAGAGGGGTTTCCAGGGTTGATAATCCCCTAACTTTAGCATCTTAGCTCAAGAAGGCAGGTATTAATCTCCATTTCTCCGCAGGCCGACAAGCAAAAATGGCCTTTGTCAACTCTGTGGCCAAGCCACCTCGTGATGTTCGGAGGAGGCAGGAGAAGTTTGGAACAGGAGGTGCAGCTGTGCCTGAGAAAATCAGGTAAGATCTCTGTCCCCTGTGGTTTCTGCCTGCTTAGGGAGAGAGAGCCCAAGAGCTTATCTTTCAGCCCTGAGAGGCAGCCCAAGGGCAAGAGCGATTCATTTTGGGGGTGAAAGCGTGGCAGTGCAGAGTGGGTTCTGCAGGCCGACCTTGACCATCTGGGCACTTGAGCTCCCTGAACCTCAGTGTCCTTGACTACACTGTGGGCAGGATAATGATTCCTGCCCTTAGGTGGGGGCGGGGGGCGGGGGGTGGGGGTGGTGGTCAACACTAAATGGAGAACAGGGCCTGGCTTCTGGGACACATCCCCTAAGGCTTTCCCTTGCCCCATTTAAACAAAAAACATATTACTGTGATGACTAAATTACCTAAGTACGTTAGCATTGTCAAAATACAGATTTACACCTAAACAGTGAAAAGTTAGTTGAGATTATCGTTCATTCTGAAGGCCCACCACAGTCACTTCCGAGCCATCACCAGAATCTAGGGTACTAGGTCCACTGGTCAAAGCCACAGAACTGAGTCCTCAGACCAGCCAGCTTCAGGCTGTTGGTGCCGAGGGCAGATTTCTCTTGCTCTTGACTAGCAGCTTTGCTCTGTGTCACAGGATCAAGCCAGCGCCGTACCTCTCAGGAAGCAGCCGCTTGGGCAGTGGCAGCAGCAACAGCTTTAACGCCAGCCCCGAGGAGCCGGCCTACGACGGCCCGAGTACCAGCAGTGCCCACTCGGCACCCATGGTCAGCAGCACTGTTTCCTGTGATCCTAGGAAACCGACTGTGAAGAGTAGGTAACTTGGAGCTCCTGCTCAGATATTTCAAAACTAGTATTTGAACTGCCCTAATGTTATTACTGCTGCATCACACTTTGTGTGTTAGATGTAGGGTATGTGATGCCTTGCACACAGCTGGTCTAAATGTCAGGGCCTCCTTCCCCTGCTTTGTTCGTAGCGCATATTTCACGTGTCATTTAAATTATGATAGTAGTGAATATTCATTTTGGTACTCTGCTTTCTTTTTATTTTTTTCAACCTAAATGTAAACCTGTTTCTCCAGGCAATAACATGGAGTTTCCAACTGTTATTATTAACAGCTAAATAATTTTATTGAAGTTTTATAACCTTATAACCCCACCTTCCAAGTATTTTTTTCTATCTAGTTGGGTCTCTTTCGTATTTTACTAACTTTACTACTGTAGACTATGCCCAATATTCTACAGCGGTGTCCTAACTTAAGAAAAGCATTATTCTGTATTTACTTCAGGGCCCACAGGAGGGTGGGAGTCCTGACTTGCACTTTGGCTCCGTTCAGGTTAACCAGGCTAGAGGGCAGGCTAGTCGTTCTTAGGTGGTATGTGCATTTAGTTCCTCTCAGACCTGTTGCTACACTGGACGGACAGGTATGGGAGGAGGTGCTTTTGGCTGGTTTGGATATTGGTGAGGCAGAGTTAAATTATGGCTCAGAATGGCCTTTAGAGTCTGGCAAGGCTTGAACTCCAGTTCTGCCATTTACCGTACAGGGTCCAGCCTGAGTCTTGGTGAAGTTGTGAGAATTAGGGGGGGTGATTGTCAGGGGCCTGGCAGGTGCTGGCGAAGTGTTACCTTTGGGCTGTTGCTTTTCTATGGGGTTGGCAGATAACTGCTACTTGTATCCATTTGTCTGGCTGTGTAGAGCCAAGAGTAACAAGGCTTTGTTTGATTGTAAACCACTGGTGTCCACACTGCCATGGATCTGAAACAACTGCCTTATTTCTCTTTTCACAGAAATTGCCCCAATGATGGCCAAGACGATTAAAGCTTTCAAGAATAGATTCTCCCGACGATAAACTGAGGACTTAGCTTGGAAATGAAATTTGCGGGGAGGAATACGAGGACAGGGTGTGGGGGGGTTGGGGAATGGAACTTCCAGAGAAGACCAGGATCTTTTGCTTCGTGGAGGCTTTTGGTCTCCGAGTCCTGCACAGTCAGCAGGCGTCGTGCCTGTGCCTGTGTCCGCAGCTGCCGCCTCCCTGCCTGGCGAGCACTTCCGAGTTCTGAAGAAGATGTGAAGCCTCACGCTCACTGAGGATTTTAAGGTCAATTGTACCTTTGTTGTTAATTACCTTCTTTGTAAACTATAAGACATAGTTTTAATTAATAAATATTGCCCCCAGATTGTATTTATATTACCCCCAGGTTTTTTTTTGTTTTGGGTTTTTTTTTTTTGTTTTTTTCTGGTCCTCTACCACACACTTAGCCTTTTATTTTTAGGGTTCTTTGTTAGACAAAAGCCTATTGAAAGCCTTTCCCCTGTCCCAGTTCATCTCTCCTGAGTAGACTTTGGCCCATAGAGAGGACTGGGTGTCCCCAGAGCCTGTGTGGCACGTATTGCACGTAGAGCGAGGAATGGGTCCTGGGCTGCCTGTCCTGGAGGGGGAGCCCCGGCGTGGTGACAGGAAGTGTTCGGGTCGGACATCCCCCACCTCTGAGACCCTCAATTGCTTTGAGGTCCTGTGCAGGTGCATCTCTTTCCTACTCATTCAGGGAATTATTTATTAAGGGAAGGTCTGGAGTCTTTCCCCCCATCCTTTTTGCCAGGTCCCACTGTTTTTGAGGCTCACTAGAGGGCACAGAACTCCAGTATTTTTAGAATCTCCAGTTTCTAATTCAAAACTTTAGGGTCTTTTTCCTCCCCTATTTTTCCTTCTCCCCACTGGCATGGGGCAAGACCCAAACACATGGCAGGGCTTTCTGTAGGCCCCCGAATACAGCTTTAGAGTTTTAAAATCCAGCACTGTAATCTCCTAGTCCCTGTGAGTTGCTACTAGAAGTGAATGGTTTTAAAAGGTAATGCTGTGTTGGAAATTGGTTTTGTTTTTGCCTTTCTTTAAAAGGTAAGATCATGTGATTGAAAGAGCACAACAATTTGCTATGTTTTGTAGAGAACTTAGCAGCTTGAAACTCTCTCTACTTTTTGAATCTTTAAACCAGAACTTGGAGGTAAGGGCCAGTTTAAGGAAAGGGTCTGAGCTGTAGCATCAGGATGGGGGAGCCACAAGGGCATCCACCAGTCTTGGGAAGGGAGTATCTCACTTTTGAGTTGACATAGGGGGAAAAATCAGAGCTAGGAGGACAGTGTCAGTGTCCTTCTTGGTCGTTGAAGGACACTAATCTAGTAGGAACCCACTTGGTTGTGACCCAGGTAGATGTAGATACTATAAATTTGAGAAGCCCATCCTTTAGAAACCTGAGAAGCAGGTTGAGGGTGTGGTTAGTGTGATAGCCCATGGAGCTTGGCAGTTACCAGTCCCTTTGACAAGCTCACTCAAAGCCCAGAATATGGAGCCCACTGTTTTTAACCATCCTGGAGACCTCAGTTAGGCTGACTCTGAAGATTGCAGAGCGACGCAGCAAGAAGTCTGTGCAGCAGAAGCATTGTTCAGTGTGCGTTGCTGTGCAGGGTACCTGAGGGACACAAGTATTGTGTTTTAATTTGCTGTATTTTTGAATTGGGTAAAGCATTCTTTCTCTTGATTGTTTGTATTACCATTCCACCAGTCCCCCAGCCTGCTCCCCAAATGTGATATTAGAAAGCCTCTTATCTAAAACCAAATGAGCGTCTGGGTCAGGTGCCAGACACCTGTTGCCTAGAATAGCTTCCTCTAGGTATCCAAGCCTTGAATTTGTCTCTTACCTGTGTGTTCAAGTCTTTACCATGGAAACCAGTTTTCCATATTTGGTACAGTTGTGTATGATTTAATTTCCTTTATTAGGAGTCTTTGGGCAGGGAGGGAAGAAAAGACACATCCCAACATCAGTATCCATCTTTGGATCACCCCTGTTTGCATAGAGCCAGATCTTTCCCTCTCCCCCTCCAAGACTGTCTGCATCAGGGATGTGGCTTGGTGAGAAGAGGGAAGAGGAAAAACTGAGTTTCTAAACTACCGCCTCTCCTAGGTTATTGAAATGCCTGCAGAGCAGACACAGGATGATGTTGAACCTTTGGTCTCATTTGTGAAAACTTGTGCAATTTTTTTTTTCTGTGCTACACTACATACAAATCACCGAATTGCAAATTAACACCTTTGTGATCCTTGGTGTAATGAGCAGTTTCTTTGGGGCTTTTCCTTTCTTTCCGGGAAGTGGGAGGGAAAGGAGCAAGGTATTATCTTGCTCTTCATTTGTATTTTGGTCCCAAAATGTAAATACAATTTTCTATGTTACTTTTTTGTGGTAACTACCAAGATGAATATTTTAATTAGATAAGTTATATGAAAAGGAAGGAAAATTCCATGTCTGAATTAAAAAAAAAACAAACACCATATACTGTTGTCTTTCTTCCTTTCTCCCTTATTGTGTTAGAGAATGGAAGTCGGTCACAATGTCTGGATTCTGGGCTGTGAGGCAGAGATCTTAATCCCTGGGCTGGGCATAAAGGATGCTGGATTTCTGTCTGTACTGTAGCACAGCAGGTCTGGGAAAAGGGGACTCAAAGGGAGAGAACCCTATGAGCAAAGCAAGGAAACTCAGATGAAAATGAGCACTTGGGGACCATGCACTGTCCCTTACTGCACTTGGAACCCTGGGACTGACCTGTTACCCCGTTTTACAGTTAGAAGCTGAGGCTCTGAGGGGTGAAATGACAGCCAAAGCCATATAGCTAGTAAGTGGCAAAGGAAAGGATTTCAAACCCAGATTCTCTGACTGCAAAGTGTGTGCCACTCTATCTTTCAGTCACTTCCAGCAGGTGTGGAGGACCCAGATAGGTCTCCTCAGTCTTACATTGGCTTCCTAATGAGAGCACAGTGAGCACACAGGCAGAAAGGTCGTGGCAGCAAGGGCTTAATAAGAACCTGCTGTGTTGGCCCTGGCTGAGCTGCCAGAGTTTCAGCATTCGTGGGTGGAGCCAAGGGCTTGGTTTCAGCCCCTACATCCATCAAGAGCCTTGGTTCTCACATCAAACCTCAACATCGCATGGCAACACGGTTTTATTATGATGCCTTCTCTCCTAAAGAGGGTATTCCTGGTGTATGGTCTGGACTTATTTTTCCCAATTCTTTACTGGATCTAATTCTCACTGTTACAAATTACTATGCATTGAAGTTAATGACGGAATGTGGTATCTGATGGATGATTTTACCCGGTGTCTGTAAGTTAGCCCTTTGTCCCTTATTCATTAATTCAACACTTGCTGAGCCAGGACCTGTATTAGACCCTGGGATATAGAGTAACATGCAGTCAAGTCTGGCGCTCATGGTCAGGTAAAAGTAACTGAGCTCACTGGTTATATACCTACCATGTTCCAGGAACCACGGTCTCATATACATACATTATCTCGATTGTCACAACGGTACTACTATAAGGTAGGTTGTCACGGCCCCCATTTAAAAACTGAGAAAGCTGAAGCACAGGGAAATTAAGAACTTGCCCAAGGTCACACAGTGGTGACCAGTGGTGCTGTGTGCTTTTGGTCTGACTCCCAAGCACATGTTCTCAGTCACATTTCCCATCTCACACGCAAACACATACCCAATGTTAGGCTTCTGGAACAAAGCCAACCTCCAATGCAGAAAGATGCCCAGGCCAAGACCCTAATCATTTCTAGGAATGACTTCTCTGTGCTTCGTGTAACTGATGTCCAGAAGAATCCTCTACCTGGCTCATCACCTTAACAGATGCCCCTCTCACAGGGTTTCTCCACTAAGGTTCCACATCCACTTGAGTGTCTCCCTGGTGATTTGGCTAACCTGATTATTTGGTGAAATAGGCAGTTTGTCCTCACAGGCCCCCATACCTCTGTGATGTCTACTGTCTCAACTCTTCAGAAACTTCTGAGGAAAGTTCAAGCCATCAAAGTTTTATATAGCTATACCCATGTTTCGCAAGCAGAGGATCTCGGCTTGGGGCCCCAGAATGTGCATTAAAAAAAAAATCCAAGCAATTCTTCTTATAACGCACATTGAAGTTTGAGAACTGCTCCAGAGAATTTTCCACAAATAGTGTAAAAGCTTTTCACAGCTGGCCTGTGTGTCAGGACTGGGAAGCTTGCATATTCAGTCACACAGCAAATACTGTGCTGTCCCCACTCTGTGTCACTGCATAAGACAGACACGGCCCCTGCCTTCATGGAGCTTTCATCTAGTAGGCGAGACAGTAATCAAGTAACTACACAAATCATTGTTTTCTTTTGGTTTTTTTGGCCACACCATGTGGCTTGTGGGATCCCAGTTCCCCAACTAGGAATTGAACCTGGCCCCTCAGCAGTGAAAGCGTGGAGTTCCAACCACTGGACTGCCAGGGAATTCCCAGAATCATTGTTTACAGATTTCTGGCCCCACTGCAGAAATCTGAATTGGTCAGAGGTAGGATGTGGAAGTAGGTATTTTTTTTATAGGCCTCGCCCAATGAGTTTGATGAGCAGCCTGGTTTGGGAATGCCTCGTGCAGTGGGAAAACAGCACATGAGCTTTGGGATAAGACAGATTCAGGTTCAAATCCTGGCTCCACCACTCTTCAGCTTTGTGACACCTCTCTGAGCCTTAGTTTCCTCATCTATGAAATGGGAATAATGACACCTCACAGGAATTCTTGTAAGGATTCAATGAGAGAAGTAGAGCTCAATAAATTTTACTGTCCTTCCTTCATTCCCTCTAAATGCGGAATGAAAGGAAGGCAAAGTTTTGTTTTCTCTTGACAGGAATTAAAGCTTTAGGATCACAAGATAAGGACTATTCTGAGGTCAGTGAGTCCTTCCTAATCATTGAAATCTTAGCCCCTGCTGCCCCAGATAGGATTAGTTCAGCTTTTCTGTTTTTGGACTCCTATTTCAGGTCCCTTAAACCATAGCCCCTAACAACCACCAAAAAGGCAGACACTACCTAATTTCTTGTTATCTCAGTGGTCGCAAATACCAGGAGTTTGGTGTAGGACAGTGGGAAGTGGTGGGAACAGAAGGAAAAAGGGCTATTTACGCAGCTCCACCTGATTGCTTCCAGGCAGAAGGCAGGGCCCAGTGTGGCCACATCATCGCGTTTTAAAGAAAAGACAGAAATCTAGACTTCTATGTAAAATATCCCAGTATTTAAAACCCAGAAAATCTATATGAAGTGGATAATTTTCCAGAAAAATACAACTTACCAAAATTGACCCGTATAGAAATGTCAAATTTAAACAAATTACCATAGAAGAAA